AGGAAAGGAAACCAGGTAAGGAATGAGGAAAACAAAAAAGACAAGGAGAGGAAAGAAAGAGGCAAGGAGATAGGAAAGGATACAAATAAAGGAGACAGGACAAGGAGACTAAGAAATTAGTCTTGATTTGGAAGGAGACATGGGAGGGAGATAAGGAGAGAGAAAAGAAGACAAAAAAGGGAGCATAGGAAAGGAGACAAAGTAAGGAAGGAGCACAAAGAGATGAGGAAAGGAGATGAGGGAAGAGTAGGCGGTCAAGAGGTGCTGCTTTAAAATGATTTTGCTTATGGTAAACTAGTTATAATTTACTATTTACATGAGTAACAAGTATTGAGTTTGTTAGGCATTATAAACATTTTACCAGGACTAAACCAGAACTAAACCGGGACTAAACCAGAGCTGAATCAAGAATAAACCAGGTCTAAACCAAGACTAAACCGGGACTAAACCAGAGCTGAATCAAGAATAAGACAGGGCTGAACCAGGACTAAACCAAGACTAAACCAGAACTAAACCAGGACTAAAACCATGACTAAAACCAGGACTAAGCCAGGACTAAGCCAGGACTAAGCCAGGACTAAGCCAGGACTAAACCAAGACTAAACCAAGACTAAACCAAGACTAAACCAGGACTAAACCAGGACTAAACCAAGAACTAAACCAGACTAAACCAGACTAAACCAGGACTAAACCAGGACTAAACCAAGACTAAACCGGGACTAAACCAAGACTAAACCAGGACTAAACCAAGACTAAACCAGGACTAAACCAAGACTAAATTAGGACTAAACCAAGACTAAACCAGAACTGAATCAAGAATAAGACAGGACTGAACCAGGACAGAACCAGGATTAAAAATAAATAAAATAAATTAAATGAATCAAAATGTTTGTATGTGGATTACAAATACCCCATAATCTAGACTACTTTTTGATGTAGAATGAGAGTTCTAACAAAAATGGGGCTTTAATCAATAGATTTGATAATAGTTCATTGTTTGTTGTGTTTTACGGTATTCTAATCTAAAGTGTGCAGTAATTAAAAAAGAGATACAAAGAAAGAAGAAATAAGAGGAAGGAGACAAGGAAAGCAAACAAGTGAAGTGAAGAGATTGACAAGCTCGATACAAATGAAGCCAACACCTCATTATGAACTGTTCCAATACACCAAGACAGATACTGCAACTGACAAAACATGTATCACTTCCAATTATGCTCACTGCTTTTTAATTAAATAGTAGCTTCAAAAGTTCAGCCTGGCCGCGGAATTCTGATACGGGGTGTTGTAATCCGTGGAAAGATTAGACCCAGACTCATTTTAAGAGAAAGTGAAGCGGTCACAGGGTGCACCACATGGGAGTGTTTAGGGTCAGACAAAGTTTGATAAGTTTTCTATTCTTCTGCTACATAAACAAGTGAGCCATTACAATATGAACAAATGTTTAAAGGTCCTATATTACATAAAATTTACTCTTGTGAGCTTTAAGCCGTGTTATAATTAGGGGTGTGCAAAAATATTGAAATATTGATATATCGTATCGTTTAATGTGATGATACAGTATCAATATTGTGGGCTGCTGTATCGATATATCACCAAGAGTATATTTTTATATACAAAGTAGGAAAAAAACTTTTTTCAGTTTGCCCTTACTATTTTGTTATTTTGTACTTTTTGTCTGCCTCAGTTTTTTTCCTACTTTGTATTTGAGACTGGTCCCTACACTGAAAAGCACCAAAAGGACAATTCTGCACATTTTTTGTATATCCGAGTAGCACTCCTGCCCCCAAAGCTTTGCAGTATATATTTTTTTAATATATTTTACTAAATTATTTTGTTGCAGCGCTAGTTTTGTTGCTTGTTTAGTGGAAGGAAACTAATTTATGCAACACATTTGACATTTTCACTGTTTTGATGATTAAATATTTCAATATCAACTTTACACAAGAAGTGGTTTAACAAAGACTTTTAGTATCACCGCAATCAAATGTGCTATATCGAGATATGTATTGTATCGTGGCCTGTGTATCAAGGTATGTATCATATTGGCAACTTCTTAATGATACCCAGCCCTAGTTATAATGTTGTTTTCTCATCAAAAACATACCTGGAGTTTAGGGATGTAACAATAACCCAAATATGGTGATATTGTATCGTCAAAGTTCTGTGGACCATCACAATATATCGAATTACAAGTCTCTTCACTTAAATGAAGAGTTATGGTGCAGCAATAGCGAAAAAGACAGAGGGAACTACATAGACCATGATCCTTTGCTCCATTTCTGTGCAGACTACAAGAAGAAATAACAGTTCTGAGAATTTTTAAGTCCTAGTCTTCTGGATTAAGTCTTGTCAAGGCATTTTAAGAGGAAAAAGCAGCATATTAACAGTTTTAGCTGTTTAGTCTCCACAAAATATCACAATAAATATTGTACTGTGAGGTTCATACTGTAACGATATCGTATCGTGAGACTTGGATATCGTTACATCCCTACTGGAGTTGTGTTTCGTTTCATTTAGATGTGCTTGAGCACCCCTTTTATTAGTCTGTCTACATCTCCAAAGCTCAAAATGCTCTGTTTTCAAGTTAACAGCTACATTTACCTTTAGTTCAGTTGAGATTCCAGGTCTGAAATTAAAAAACGCATTGGAGCCCTTCCTGTATTACCACATGACATCACAAGGTGGAACAGAGTGTTTTCTGTTTGAGAGAAGAACTCAGCCTAAATATGCAGGGTTTGTGTGTTAAACATGTGAGAATGAAACAAAACACAACTCTAGGTGTGTTTTTACTGAGGAAACATTAGTAATATCAGCTCTTAAAGTGAATTGCAACTGTAAGTGGGCTGTAATCAGGCAGATTGTGAGTAGTTTTTGATATTTTTTTTCTTGATATGCAAAACCTGGGACAGTATCCAAGTTGAAGCACAGGTCAGGTTGTCCTCATGAAATGTCTTATATTTATGCCAATATCTATACAGTCAACAAAGTTTTCTAGTTTTTGTTTTTGACACACTATAGAGTACTTTTTGCAGAAGACGCACTATTTCCCTTTTGCCCTTTAGAGTGTGCTGTGTACAAAGTTTGAATACATTTACATGAATCAGAGACTTTTTATTACCTGTGTGGATAGTTTCAACGGTAGCTTTGAAGTTTGACTATGAAATGGATTTAATGCATTTTTTATATTTCCATATGTTTATGCATTCAAGTTATTCTGCTTTTTCACAACGGGGGTCACGCAAAGCTGTCAAATATAGGTTTGAAACAGTTTTGTTTCACAGTTTCACACAGCATGTATTCATTCACATACTGTATCTATTATGTTTTATTTAGAAAGAGTTTTATTATTTAATCGTGCTTTTCTGGTGTGGTTATATTCCAGTCTCCTGCTGTATTTGCTTTTAGTGGCATTTTCGACTGCTTTAAACGTATCTATGTGTCTTTTATTTAGTTACGGCATTTTATAGAGAAATATCTTCCCATAGGAAAACTTATAACATCTCCATGGAAACAAGCAGGTGACCCTCTATTAGTTACTAAGTGCAAACATCTATATAAACCAACAATATAAGCCACGTGTTATACCCATAGATAAGTGAGCATGTATTTTGGTTTTAGAAAGTTACTCTTAAACGGGGGCACTATGGGACACTTTAGGTATGAGACTAATTTACACTCGTTAAAAGATTGCATAACAACTTTATTTCATTTTAATTAGCTCTTTTTGCATTGTGTTTATTTACTATTTACTTTTTAAATAACTTCAAACCAGAAAGTTAAATCGTTAGACTAACAGCAAAATTGCCCAAGTCATTTTCTTTTTGGCCAAATTGTGATATCTGTCTAATAGGGATGGAACATTAACTGAAATATCGTGATATTGTATCGTCGAAGTTCTCACAATAATATCGTGAACCATTACAATATATCGAATTACAAGTGTCTTTGCTTAAATTAAGAGTTATCGTGCAGCAATAACTAAAACTAACAGAGGGAATTACATAGACCATGATCCTTTGCTCCATTTCAGTGCAGACTACAAGAAGAAATAACAGTTCTAAGCACTTTTCAAGGCATTTTAAGAGGAAAAAGCAGCATATTCAGTTTTGTTTAGCCTCCACAAAATATCGCAATAAATATCATACCGTGAGATGTATATCGTGAAAATATCGTACCGAGAGATTTGGATATTGTTACATCCCTAATTGTGAGCTTTCCCACGATATCGCAATAAAAATCGTACCGTGAGACTTGGATATCGTTACACCCCGACTGCCTAACTTGACTCTCCTGCCACTGCTGCATCACCCTGCCTTATCGCCTATGTCCTCAGCCTGTCATCAGAACTGCTGTTACAGCCTAAAATCACTGTCTGCCTTTGTCATCTCTATACAATATCAATAAAAAATTTGTTTTTTCTTGTTTTCTGAAAACATTCAAATATGACTTGGGCAACTGTGCTGTTAGACTAACGAAATGTTATCCACCAATTATTTGATATAAATTTTCAAACATCCAGGAATATGATTATGTAAGAGTTAAACAATAAACAACTGGACTTACTAGTTTTTAAAGGTGCACTATGTCCAAGGTCCATCACCTGCTTGTTTCTATGGATATGTCATTGCTCTGCCTGGAATGTTCGACAGTATGACATTAAACAGCTCTACCTTGCATTTATTCGATTATTCAGTGGTTTTATAGCTCAAAAATATCGAGGAAAAACATTCTGCATTCTGACTGTGAGCGGGGTCGCCTCTCCAGAGATCTGACCTGTAACTTGGGTCTTGTTTGGTCTCCATGAAGATAGAAAAGTTTAATACCATACTGTGAAACATTCCAGACAAAGCAACAACATCTTCATGGAAAAACTAATTTGACGAACCCTCCACCAGAAAAGCCAACATTTCTCTATTTCACATTCGTGTAAATACACCTCTCCACCCCCCCACTGCATGTCTATTCCTCATACAGATTTAAGAGCTGCTGTGTTGGTTTACCTTGGATCTCAAAGGCTCTGGGAATCCTCCATGCGGTATTCCAATGTATCCCTGCAGGAACTCCACCACAGACAGAGGGAAAGACAGCTCATCTGCCCTCTCCTCCACCTCGGCTCTGCTCAGGTCATTCTGCACCATGAACTGAGCCAGGTCACCCACGATCTTCGAGGAGGGGGTCACCTGAAAGAGACAGATGTGTTAGCATGGCGGTACATCAGCTTGCAGTGTTAGCTTTAGCGTAGTGTTTGTATTTCATCATAGACGCAGCGGGACCTTGGAAATCCTATGCACACAGATCAATCCAGATCAGTGGGCTTAGGGCCAGAGCTGCTTCTGCGCATCGCTAATAAATTACTGTTGTCATTCAGGAATTCTTTGAGATACAACATGCTATTTCTGTGTGTAAGAATTTGTTTTTACATTATGTTTTGTTTAAATTGTATGTTCAATTAATTTTCTTCTTTTAAAGTTGACATGTATAATATGAATATTTGTAGACTGGCATTTAAATGGATCAGTCCTATTATACCAAACGAAACTATTGAATTTATATGAGGACACAGTGTATTATCCAGCGCAGGGTTTCTCTAACTGTGGTCTCTGTGTGATTTTTGAACTTCACTCTGAGCTTGAGTTTGTTTTATTCAGAGACAAATCTATGTATGTTTTTGCCCTCTTTCAGGTTAAGCAGCATTGAGAACTACAGTACCTTATCCATTCTTTAGTCTAATTTTAGAGCTGGCAGAGTCAAATTTGAGACCATGTGTGGCACTAATTTAGCCCTGATAAAGTCCGGGATTAAATCTGGTGGGATTTAGAAAGCCAAGTATTAAGGTAGACAGTACTTAGTGCAAAAAGTTTGAGAACCACTGACATAAAGCTTACACGTATTTTTTTTTTTTTTTACTGCAATATAGTGATAGTATCAACTGACACTTTGCAGTGCCATCACACTGGGGGTGTTATACATGTGCCTGTTATACAATGAGAGATACAGGACTACATTCATGCCATACTCTATACAATTGTACAATAACTCACAATATGTTATCACAATTGATAATACATTTTGTGTTTTCATTATACTAGACTATTTAAAATGAGCTGTCCATGGTGCTGAAATGTCACACACACAGTTGAGTAAGTTTTTCTATAGCGCTTTTCACAGACATATGTCACAAAGACGCTTTACAGAGCATTATTCATTCACTCCATACCTGGTGATGGTAAGCTATTGTTGTAGCTACAGCTGCCCCAGGGCAGACTGACAGAAGCACAGCTGCCATGCCAATCAGAGCCATCTGTCCCTCCGACCACCACCATCACTCACAAACACACCACTTCACCACTTCACCACTTCACCACTTCACCACTTCACCACTTCACCACTTCACCACTTCACCACTTGGCAATGTGGGTGAAGTGTCTTGGTGTTTTTTCGACTGGCGCCCCACTGTGGCACCTGATTTTCCCAATGATCTCCCATCCAAGTACTAACCAGGCCTGGCCCTGCTTAGCTTCTAAGATCTGACGGGATCAGGCTTTGACAAACCGGTATGGCCATACCAGGCTAGAAGTTTAGAGAGTGGAACCAATTTCTTTTTCTAGTAAGTTTTGCTGACCTGGTTATTTCTTTGTGACTAAAATAGTCCAAGTTTTAATCTGGTGACTGGGGACTTGAAAAGCCAGATATTAAGGCAGATGGTACTTGGTGCAAAAAGTTTGAGAACCACTGTCATAGAGCTTACACTTTTATTTTTTTATTTTTATTTTACTGCAGTATAGTGAAGAAAAAGTTCAACTGATACTTTGCAGTGAAGTCACACTGGGGGTGTTATACATGTGACTCTAGTGGTGGAATATTCAGCAGTTACCATGGTGACAAAATGCACATATGAGCAAACACATGAAAAAGTTAAGAAAACTCAAAAAATACAAAATGGATTTAAAGAACACATTTTCAGAATCTTGTGATTAATATAAACATTCATGGTTTAGGAGTTTGAATTTCAACAAAAAGGTGAGAGTGACTAATTTTATGTGTGGGAAACTTTATTAAGTGCACAAATCATCTCAACTAAGTCATCTCTTTCTGGTCAGACTGTGGTAAAATAAAACTGAGATTAAGTCCAACTTGAATAACAGAGTTTCTAACAGAGCAGTGCTTTCAGGTATCTTCACACCCACAGGGATTGTTGATGGCATCGGCTCCAAAGTATCAACTGTAAAATCACCATTGTGAAAATGAGCTCCTGCCACATCGTTTTCTTGTAAATGTCCCTTGTGTGATTCTGTGCACTTCAAACTTTTTACAGCATTGTTTAATTGCATCACTCTTCTCCTTTTCCCCACACTAAAATCACACACACTCCAGTCCAGCTGTACTACAACAGACGTAAACGCAACTATCAGCTACGATTTCACCAAAGCGAGAAATGTGGTGACAGTATGGCTTTCTAATGAACGCCGTGTCTGCGAGCATTAATCTGAGTCTGACCCACAAAAGCCAGAGGAGGAGGCGAAGAATGAGAAATGAAAAGCTGTTTACATCTACACACCATCTTTAATCAGGGCTCTGGCAGCTCTGAACTGAACGCGCCAGGCCTTTTGTCTGACATGCTCCGAAACCAGAGAGAGAGAGGGGCATTCATTAAAATCACATGTATTCTTTCTGTCATTATTTACAATGGTGTGTCATTATGGTAATAGCAATCCCTATTAGCATAATGGTGATAAGTGAGGGCGCTTGTGACACCGACCAAAAATCAATGCTACATATTTCTCTTCTGTTAGAAAAGTGGTGTTGGATTAGATTAGACTGGGACAGGCTTTAAACACAGGTTACGAGAGGTGTAAGGAATACTCCAAACTGAAATGTTCAATATTACTGAAGAAAATATGATGAGTTTCTGAGTTATAAAAAGTATGTCGAAGTTTTTACACGTTATAGGTGCTACATCCAATACTATAAGTGTAAAAAAATGTATGTTTTCATTACAACCAACACCAGCACTCCTCCTATCCTACTACTACTTCTACTATCACTCACTGGAGAAAAAATATTCATGCCAATGTGATTATTTGTACTATTAGTAGCAAGTACAGAGGCTCTAAATATGGGTGGGATGAGAGTATGTCAAAGAGAATGAGACAAAATGAGAAAAATTTGATTTTGACGTTATTTATAATTAATACATTGGACTACACAGTTCACAGTTTTGGTAGACAATCTTATTTTATTTAAAGTTTTAAGTTTTAAAGTTTTAAAGTTACTGTCATTGTAGCTCTGCTTTTTGTAACTATGGCTCATCAAGAGTTTGCCAGCACTTAGCCCCTTTTTGTCCCCACAAAGTCTCACTCTCTTTTAATCATTTTTTCATACTACAAAGCAGACCAAGTTATCGTTTTGCAAGTCTCAAGTAAGTCTCAAGTCTTTGACCTCAAGTCCGAGTCAAGTCCCAAGTCAAATACAGGCAAGTCCAAGTCGAGTCTCGAGTCACTGGCCCATAAGTCCAAGTTAAGTCCAAGTCGTCTACTTTGAGCTTCAAGTCATTTCAAGTCTTTAAATCAAAGTACCAAATACAGCTTTGGTTTTTTGCAATTTATATGATTTTTAAACTAAATTGTGCTTAAAATGTCATGGTATATGAGTATTTCTCTAAGTGTCTATAAGTATGTCTTGACAAGGGTGAGAATTATTACAGTCAGAACAAAAAGAATTAAGATTTAAAAGTGCTAAATAACAGTTATTTGTCGTGTAGTCTGCACTAAAATGGAAGGATCGTGTTCTGTGTAGTTCTCTGTTTTACTGTATTGTACTGTATATTACTGTGGTATAATTGAGGATACCATCTCTCAGTACTTTAGTTACATCCAAACTACCAAACAAAAGTGGGAGAGACACATTCCAGTAATGAGACAAGTATTTTCATACTTTTTAGGAGAAGCATCAAGTCTTCCCAAGTCACCGACTTTCAAGTCCATGTCGAGTCCCAAGTCTTTGTCCATTTTATCAAGTCAAGTCTCAAGTCCTAAAAATAGTGACTCAAGTCTGACTTAAGTCCACATCACGTCTTGCAAGTCTCCACCTCTGCTACAAAGTGCCTCAGATCTCTTCTCTTTTTGACTGCTGTACATGCATTTTTGGTTCCATTGGCAAATCAGTTGCATTCTGGTTTTAACAAATATTTCATCTTGACTAATGTGTATCAAGGTGGCTCATAGGTAAGAATAATACTTTTTTTTTACTGCTACTACATAGATTACTACTACTACAAGAACTATTGTGCTACTACTAATACAAGGACAACAACTGCTACAGGTAAAACTACTACTACTGCTACTACTAGTGTTGCTATTGCTAATATTGCAACTACTATCACTAACCAATTTGTCAGTATAACAACATGTCAACATTGTAAGCAATATAAAACTCATCATTATCAATCCACCTCCCTCCATATTTTTCCATTACAGAATAGGGTATAGTAAAATATAAATTAATATATAGTGTATTATATCGGCTGCACATTTTGTCTCCTGCTCTTAACACTGTAGTAGAATCCTGGTATTTCCCAGCAGGCATCAGAGATGGTTAAGAGTCTGCATAAAGTTAAACACTGACAGATGAACAGAGCGCAGGAGGAGAGCGGCCCCACTCTTTACTACTATGTGCCTATTTCTGTGGCAATTAGTGCGCTCTGGCTCAAATCACATGGCTGCAAGAAGGAGCAGACGAATGCCAAGGTTTGTGAACAAATATAGATCAAGCTGATGCTCCCAGAAGACTCCTCACACAAAGGAGCTGACACCTAGTTTAGGAGATGCCAAATTATCCCGAGCGAGAGGGAGGGAAAAAGAGAGAGTTCACGTTTGTCCGGGTGCAGATGGGGAGAAGTGGCAGTGGGGGGGCACCCTTGGGAGGCCGAGAGGAAGATGATAGGTGTGCTCTTGGGAAAGCACTTGCCTTTAAACAAGCTCTACCCAGCCAGCGAACATGTGTCTAAGGTCTCTGAGGAGCGGAGAACTATCACCTGTCACAGTAAGGATTCACTAAAAACGACCATCTTGAAATCGACAAAATCTCACAACATATTAAATCTAATCCGCTCGCCTCTCCGCAGATCTAAACACTGAGAGATACAGAGCTACATTCATACCATACTCCAAACAAATGTTCA